ATACTTAAGTAAAGTACTTCATTACCACCACTGCTTATAACTGCTTAATGCATTGCCATGCAGTATCAGACATCTTTCCCATCATGATCAATAACTTCACGAAAGCAGGGGGTGGTTGAATATGTTTTAGCAGATATGATGCATTACAGATTCCTGGTAGGTATTTAGGCTTTACAATGGTTTTGTGTGTAACAATACAGACACTAAGTGGTTTTATGTCCTTGATATGTGGGGCCAATGCCAGTAAATCTGAGAGAACACATTTAGTTTCTCTCACAGCCTGCACAGTGTTTGTGTTGGTCAGAGATAGATTACTCCCCTCTCTGTACTATGCTCTCACACAGAATCAAAATGCTTGACCAGCAAAAAAAGGTGATCACTCTCTCTCCCCCTTTCTTTTTGTAATGCCACTGCTTTTTACATGTTGTTGATAATGTTTTTAATTACATGTATATGTTTATATTTTCGAATTGAATCACATAAAGCTTTTGTGGTGCTGATGAGCTTGTCTGACTCATTATTTTTAATGAACCAAAAGTCTCTCGAGACCATCGGTTTCTCAACTCGAGCGCTGCAGCATCAATTAAACAGTGCAATCTGTGAGCATGTCAAGAGATTGGTCAGAGTGGCCTATACACTGATCTCCGGGTCACTATTGGAAACAAGAAACTGAAAAAGAAAAGGAGTGACAGAGAAAAAGAGAGAGACAGAGGGAGGTTGTTCTAGATTAGTTCGTGCTGTACAGCGGTTTGTCCATGTATCCTGCACATGGTAACCTTTCCCGGCGGCATTGTGTCAGGCTTTCTGTTCTGTACCACAGGGAATCTCACCACAGTTGTTTTTCTATTACCCACACTCTTATACCAGAGCTTTTTGCTCACGAGAAAAGAACTACGATCCCCCTGGACTTCTCACTGCCAGCCCAGGGCTTCTACCAATCGAAGTGTTGCATGTGTTTGATTGTGTAAGCAAGTGCGTACGGGTCTATCCATCCATTCTCCAATCCGCTCGTAGGGTGGCGGGATGTGTGTATGGGTATATGGTGTATAAAGCATTTGGAGATTATAAGTATTTGGAGATTATCATAGATAGACTGAGAAATCAATGGGAAATCTAAGCAAATGTCACCCATTTTTTTCTGTCTGGTTTTCTCCTGGATATGGGCTGGTCACTTGTGTTTATAGAAAGATAAATCGGGTTTGAGGTGATGAAAGTTTTTTTTCTCCATTTCGGTCACCTGGAGTTTGGGTTTCTTTCTACTGTCGCCTTTGGCTGGCTTAACTGGGGTTTAAAAGACACTTAATATTTAGTAATGTTACTGATTTGACACTAACTTGAACTGAAGTGAGCTGGATGATGACACTATTGTCTTTTGCAGAGCTGCTTAATAGCTGAATCAAATTGGTTTCATAATAGATTCAATTTGCAACACTGACACTGTTATTGAACTGAATTGAATCAACAATGAACTGAATTGAGTTGAATAAATGACACGATTAACTTCTGTGGAACTACTTGTGGTTTAATTGAACTCTTTTTACAATTGATGAACTTGAAAACACAGCTATCGAACTGAACTGAATCAACACTGAACTGACTTGAGCCGAATCACTGATTCTGTTATTTCTCTGTTTATTATTGTGAAGCGGCAATGAAACAATCTGTATTGCATAAAGCACTATATAAAAAGGTAACTTGAATTGATGAAAGAAGACTCGAGACAAAATTCCACTTAAAACTGGGCACATTTTACTGTAAAACAGATTAAGAAACATTTCCAGTGTTCACTGCTGTGAAGAGGTTGTACAAGACAAAACAAACAGTTTTAGAGCAAACTACCTTCCTGAATACAACGTCTCATGTTAAATACTGTGAACACTGAGCTAAAGAGATAGAAACTACGAGCATAAGCTCGGTCATTTAAAATAGCAAAATGACAAGATGAGCTCATTTGCTTAAGAAATATTGACCATTTATCTGAACTAAACACTATTATATCACTATATTTGGCAATGTAGCCAGACTAAGAAAACCATACATGTTTCCAGCACTCCTCAAATACTTTTAGATATTGTAATAAAGGCTATATTAAAAGTATCATTGCTACTGACAATGCTTTAAAGTGATTAGTTTCACCAGTAAGGCCTTGCAGAAATTAAGAGACATTGCAAGACTGCCCCAAAAACAAAAAAAAACCACAGTAGTTCTCTTAAAATACCCCATGAGCCAAAGAATCTGACGATGCAATCATGATGTTGTCAGTCATTCAGCATTTAATCTAATCAACTACTCCATATCAAACAGCAGGACGAGAGACACAGGACAAGAAGAATATAAACTAAAATATTCGGCTTTTAAGAGCTGAAAAAAAGTTACATTTGAAGCAGTGTAACAGTCCAGACATTTAAAAAAAGAAATTGATGTAAAATTCAGTTACACTTTATTTTAAGGTGGCCTTGTTACAGTGTAATTATACAAGTAAGTACTGCGCAATATTAATTAACAATATGTGCTTTCTATATAATTATGGATTGGGTTTAGGGTTAGTTGCATGTAACTGCATTCTTTACATGTTGTTAGTAACTACATGTAAAATGTGTAACAGGGACACTGTAAAATTAAGTGTTATCTAATATTCTTCATTTATTAGGTCAAAATCAGGCTCCTGGAGGCCTTTTCTCTTCCCCAAGCGGGTAGCACATCAAATCCACACCAGAACCATTTAAATAAATTCTCTTTAAATCTCAACATATCAGGCTTACAGGCTTTGCTCCACAAAGTCCAAAGGGAACCAACAATAATATTGTGTTTTCTTAAAACATAATGTATCTTAGTGCCTCATCGAGTTTAATGTTTACCAATTACAGTATTAATGTTCGAATTAGCATCACCATTTCTTTGAATTGCTTTATACGTGGGAATCATGAATGATTTGTACAGTTAAGGGAAAAACTGCCTGAAGCCTTCAAATATTATTGCCCAGAGCTCAATAACACCCTATATGTCTTTCTCCATTATGTTGCAAAGCCAGTGGCTGTGGTAAAAATTAAAACGGATGCCGTTAGAAACATAAATAGCATCCAAAATATATTTAGACAACAGTGTCCTAGAAGCAGCACAGTCTGTCCTAGAAACAATACAGCTCATGTTACAATGTCTATTGCTACAGAAAATAGATGGGGGGGGGGGGGGGGGGGATTTATTTGGAATGAGACGCATGCATGTTTTAAAATGTGTTTTTCCACCAAACTCTCCTTTCATTTCCTAAATCCCACCTAACATGACATAACTAAATGAGCTTTCTGATCAACACAAGGCCATATGGCAAACACTTATTGCAAAAGTAAGTATTCACGCTTCACACCTGACTTGCCATAGACCTTTCAGCAAATCCAAATGGCTCCATGATCCTCAGAGCTCTAGCGGAGTCCTTGCGGTTCTCATGTGCCATTGGCTCAATCAGTGTCAACACACAAGACATCAAATGCTATGTTCTATTACACCCACACAGATATATATTCATAACTATCTATTTTACACTCTATCATGGTATAGCATACAATGACTTTGATAGAAACAGTGCAGGGAGGATTACATGAGTTTAAATGAGCTTGGAAGCCAAAAATCAAAACCATCAAGACATGCATTCATCTAAACATATCTAAAGAAGCGGTCGGGCTGTTTTGATTGGATCTAATCCAAACACAATCCGTTCCCCCGATGGCCCAACAGAAACACAGATTTTGAGCTTTATTTGATTTTCAGGGCGTCTGCACAAGTGGTCAGAGATGAAAAGAGATGTGATAGATCAACACAAGGAAAACAGATACGCATCCTTGACATCTCAGTGCTTTAAAGCTAAAACTCACTCACAAACACAGACATAGATAAACGTGTAATTCTGCACATTATACTCTCCACGGCTTTATGCTCTAAATATAGCGATACTAGGGATGCTTTTTCTGCTGGCTTCCATTGGATATTGCAATGCATTCCCATCTTCACATAATTACACCAGTAAGACTAACCACATTGCACTTGTTCTATCTGGCAGCTTTCGATGAAATGCTTTGGACTGTCTATTGCACCAGCTGCTGATGTTTTGCACTTGAACATCCACTCGTGATGATTGAAGATTACAACTATCTACCGAGTTATCTGTTTGGTGCATCCAAAACACACCCACGCACCAACTACGGCGGACCACTTTAAAGGCTAAATGTACTATCCTGTATACTATGAAAAAAATGTAACATTCAGAACCACTTACTATTGAAAAGAGAAATACTGCAGATACAATTGCACTTTGACTTATCAGAAATAAGTTATCGTTCACCTACAAAGAAAAAACACCACAAAACAGAGTGTGACATCACATCAAATACATACAGACGATTATGACAAACAAAGAGACGGAAATACACAAATATGACACGATTCGAGCGTAAACTCGCTAATTGTCTAACGTTGTCTATAGGTTCAAATTGAATACATTTTAAAATCTTATTCAAAGTTTTCTTAAGAAAATTTTGAAAAACGTTGAAGCTAAAAGACAAAATCTGCTGATCTAAAATGAGCTTCTTCTACACATGCCTTAATGTCACACACAAAGTGTGTAATTTTATGGAATTTTAGACGAAAAATCTGTAAGTCTATAGAAATCTAAAATGTCTAAACACACACAAAGCCCCTGATACAGATTTCAAGTGTTATTTCAACCCCACTCATGTAGCTCAATCCCGTAAACTGAAGAACTTCCTATTGAAATAAAAAAAGTTTCTCTTTTGTCTCATCTCTCTATCTAAAGAAGGTACAGTACAGAGTGAAACCTGAGTAATATTCCCTCGTGAATCTTAAACAAAAAAAAACACACCATAGTTTAACAACTAAAACAGTGCAATATTATGCCGAAAGATAAAGTACAGTAGTTATTTTAAGTTAGAGTGAATATGTACATACAACAGTAAGTCCACAGTTTCTCCTTCACCTGTAGATAGTGAATAACATTAGAACCTCTAGTACTGTTTAGTAAATGGCCTTGTTTCATTGTCCCTGCTAGTTCACCACAAAAACAGCTACTCAAAAATACTAACAAACAAATCTGTTCTTATTTTTCCGTGTTATCACAGCTTTCTCAATTCTCAAAGAAATTGAACATCATTTTCTAGACCTCACACAGGCTAAAAGGTAAGACCTGCTGATATCTAGCGAATGTTTCTCTGTCAGGCTGAAAGCTCAAATAGATGGGGTGAACACACAGCCCCTACAGTAACAGTAATGGCTGCTTCCCCTCTTGTTACATCTGAGGGCAGAGAATTCAAACATCTTCTCAATGTCATCCATCCTCATCCTCAACCTCATCTTCCTCCTCCATCTCAGGGCTTTTCCGCCCAGGCTCTCTCTCTCGGGAGGGAACGTTGCCGCCTGGGCTCTAAAGTAAGCTACCTGCCTCTTGGGCTGTTTAAACCAACGACACAAAGTCACAGAAGGTCATCATAGTCGAGAAGTTTGGAGTGCTGGCGGCTCTTCCACAAGCGGTAGAGGCGGAAGTCGAAGTACATTTCGATCATCTCCTTACCTAAGAGTGGAGAGATCACAACATTTTTAGCTCTCCTTAAAATATCAGACCATCAAATCACAGGCAGCACGTCACACATCTATTGTACCATCCGCTGTGTAAAATAGATCTACATTAGGAAGCCTTTATAGGCATTTGTGGGTGTTTTAAATACTGTTCTCTATTTAAAACAGTGGTAATTATCCTCAACAGTGCAAATCAAGCGGTGTAGAGTCCATAGGGGACAAAAGGGAGACAGAAGAGGAGGGAGGGGAGCAAGTGGGCCTCCTGAGTCCAGTGAAGAGACAGGAACAGTGGGAGAAGATAATGAGGTTTTAATTGGAGAATAATTACTGTCAAATCAATAGCGGTGGCACTGATGAGAGTTGGGGTCAGAGTTCACGTGGCACATAGAACTCTCCATACTGTGCATGTAATCTGCCATGCAAGCGTTTATTTGGCAGACCACCATATAAAGACAGAGTTGACATTATATATATTTTTTTTAAATGCATGTTTCGTAGTTTGTTTACTGCATGTGTGTCAGAATATGTGTGAGTGGTCATCTCTGTCATGTGTGTGTGTGTGTGTGTGTGTGTGTGTAGTACACTCACCCTGAGCTGACAGCTCCAGAGGAGACTTAAACTCAATGGCATGAGGTTTCATCAATCTCTTGAGGTTTTGAAAAAGCTGAGGATGAGAAAACTTTGCTGTTACTGTTCAATTTTCACAGTTGTTCAATCTAAAATTGTCAAAAGACCTTCGATTTTACTCCCAATATTCCAAATAAAGACTAAAAACGGATATTACAGATATATTTTTCAATGATCAATGCTAAAATCAATATTCAGAGAGCGGGGAGGTTGATTACAATAAAATGCAGATACAAAAAAAAAAAAAATAATAATAATAATAATAAAATATATATATATATATATATATATTTGATACATATAATTTAATGAACGCAAAGGTATACATAAAATTGTTATTTGATTACTTTATATACTAACAACAATGTAGTGTGTATATTTAATATGCAATATTGAATACTTGTTATTGTTATTATATACACACACAATATTTAATAAAAATTATAATTAGTAATAATAGTAATAGTAATTATTATTAGTATTGGTTTTGTATACATCTAAAAAAACAAGTTTCCAATGATAATAATAATAGTGTTATTTTAATAATAAAATATATATTATTATTAATAAAACGTTACTGCTTCATTTTATTATTACTATTACCTATTTACTCATTCACAATCTAATAAATTATTTTTGGCTTTAAAATATAAAATATTGTGTGTATACAACAACAACAACAACAACAACAAGTATTCAATAATAATAATAACAATAATAATGAAGCAGGAAAGCATTCAAATAATATAATTTTTTATTAAAATAATACATTATTATTATTAATATTACTTGTGTAGTCAAACTAATTTAATTATCTCAACTGATTAGGCTGACTGTACATTTCAAATTGGCCAAATATCAGTCTATAAGTGCTATATAAGTCTGTAACTACTAAAAGCTAACCAAAATCTTAATCCAAACCTTCTCTCTGGTCGTCTTGATAATCTGACTGCACAGGCTGTTAATAGGAGCCATACAGCGATGTGTGTGCATCATAAACTAGAGGGAGCTGGACAGGGCAACTGGTGGAGTGTTAAACTGTGTTCTGCCATGCTGTGATCGACCTCCGCTGGAGGGGCTCTGGTAGTGTCAATGAGAATCCTTCATATCGGGACAAAGCCTGTCAGAGTGCATTAATTGCCTCCCGCTATTCTCCTCCCAATCCTTTGACTTCTGTTTCTCTGGATGCTATCAGTATAATCTCTCATCTGGACAGCTTTCTGAGAGCTATTCCTCCACCTCTCTAAATCGATCATGAAAGCCACAGAAAGCCTCATAAATGCAGGGTCAGATAATCAATCTCTTTCCATTGTAGTGAAGACCAGGCCATTTGTAAACCAAAGGGCTCGCATTAAAAATCCCCTTGCATCAGGATATACAAATATGACTCCTAATCATGAAAGGCAATATTAGCAGCTCAAATCAAATTAGCAACAGAAAAAACGGGACACATGGGGAACTGGCTCAAAGCTAATGGTTATAATGATGCTGAGCAAACTAATCCCTTCCCTTTATTCAGTATAACATTACATATGGTCAGGCAGTCGTTACAACCTTATTAGCTTTCTGCCTGGTATTGAACACACAAGATATGTGGCCAGCTGCTGCTGCCTTGACACGGCTAATAGAAAAACAAATCACAGAGACAGTGTATAACCGTTATCTGATTTTAACACTACAACAAAAGCACAAAGGCAGGAGTTTAAAGGCACAGTTCACTCAAAAATTAAAATTCTCTCATCATCATGCTTTTCCAAACCGGTATGACTTTCTTCTGTGAATCACAAAAGCAGACATTTTTAAGAACATACTGGTTGCTATTTGCCATACAATTAAAACGAATGGGAGCTGGAACTTCCAAGGTTCAAAAGGAACACAAAAGCAACAAAGTATAAAAAAAAATTAAAAAACAATCCATACGCCTTGTGCATGATATTCAAGAGTTATGTGATGGACATATTAGATGCCACTCTTTAGAAGTGGATCTCTAAAATTAATTTGATACGGTCCATAAAACGAGTCTGAATGATTTGTTCATGGATCGAACTGATCTGGTTCTCAACTCATTGACTTAATGATCATTGACTCAAAACTCATACGGCCTACTTATATGACACTTTTACGGTGCTTTTGTGTCTTTTTGATTAATTGTAATTGCAGGGAAAAGAGAAATGTGTACAACAATAAAATTTCATACAGGTCTGGAATAATATGAGGGTGAGAAAATGATGATGGTGCAGAACTATTCCTTTAAAAACAGAGAGAAGGCATAAAGCTATTGGGTTGCTTTCTGCTGCTGCACCTGGCCAGAATCTATATATAGCAAGTTCACTGAAGCTCTTTCTTTCCCCTTCAGAAGGAGCAGGGACCATGGGGGAAAATTGCTAAATGCAGCGAAAAAGCCTTCATGTTTCTTTTTTTCTTTACTTCAGTTATATTCTCTCAGAAACCGACTGGATCAAATGCTCATGTGGCAGAAATTTTAGTGAGACTCTAGTTTCGTGCATGGTTATGTGTGTACTTCAATCAGGGACTCTGTGTACTTCAATCAGAAGACTGCATCCAAATTTGTTTACCAAGTGTCTGTCATACAGGTGCACCATGGCGTTGTCAACCCTCAGCATAATGGTGTTGCAGAGCAAGTAACTATGCTTAAAATTATCTGTGATTTGCGGGAATCCTTTGCATATAGACATGGAAAAATAGGACAAAAAACTAGACATTTTGCCTCACAACACCTCTCCATGGTTCAGAACACATCAGTGTACACTTATAAATATTATGCACTCATTCACCATTCAAAACACATGTATTCTGACACATTTGTGATTTATTTATGATCTCACAGTCACGCAGCGTCCTGAATGACGAAAATGACTTAAAATCTGATCTGACCCTTCAGACTTCCAACATTTTTTCAAAAACGAGATTTTAATCTGATCTCAAAAGATTTATGGTTGCATCTTGGATCAGGTTTGTTTGAATTTTGGACATTTAGCATGATAATACCACTGACGTATGGTAGTCATTCAGTACCATCTGATACTGTGGGTTACACCACAGTACTTTTCTGAAAGTGTTTATCGTTATAAGCCCATATCCAGCTTGGCATAACTGAATATATGTCCAGAGCTGTGGTGGCCACAGGCAACTGTCAGTGTGTGCCACTGAGAGACTGCGTGTGTGTGCATGTTGGAGTGTGTGAGAGTATATGAGGCAGAGAAGAGCGAGGGTGGAGGGGTGACAGACTGTCTATCTGTCAGTCACAGAGCAGTTGCTTGTCAATCTGGCACCCTGATCTCCTGCAATCATATCCCTGCCTCACCCTGAACACACTCCAACCTGTCTTCCTCCGTTTCTCATGCACACAACTGCCACAGCATGAAAGTACATAAAAGTATGAGGCTGTGCAGTCGTGTCAGCTCTGGAAGGGTGCTAAAACCCATAAATTAGTGAATATAAAGAGTATGACTGATATACAGACTATAAACGTAATCTTTCCATCTATAGACTGAATATTCATCCCATTCCCCTGTATCTCTCACTCATAATTTCCTGTCTTGTCTTTAAGACAAAAATCCTATGGAATGAAACAGTGGTTAAAACACACAGGGAAGTGAGTAGATATTATCTACCTTTTCTCCATTAGCATTGCCGAGCACATAGCAGCCCATAATGTGGATGAGGTTGGGCTCAGGATTTAATAAACTCATGAATCTGCCAAGTCTCTTCCAGAACCTGCACACAAAAGCTCAGAATGATTACAAATTAGGGCTACATGGTTTTTAACAGTTGATTATCTTGATATTGTAAATTTCATTGAATTGACATTAGAAGACGTATATTGTGCAACAGAACGCCATCTTCAAGTAAGCTACACAAAATAAACTGAGCTGTGATCTTGAATGATTTATCAGTATATAAAGAGGTCCTCTTTGCAGCATGAATAACAATCATTACAATTTTTAATTAATAATATCCTGTATTTACACCATCTTGTGGGTTGTTGATTATAATGGGAGCATTCTAGTTTTGTCATACACTGCAAATAGAAAATTGACGCAACAGGAGTGGACCAAAAGGCCATTTTTCACATTTGATTAACAAGGATGTAAACTCATCAAGGGTAAAAAAGGTGATGAAGATGTGACTCCCCTTGCCATGTCCTCTAGGAAGAATTTTTGTTTTTATTTTATTTGTTTTATCCCATTTCGATGGTCCACTTTAGACGTTCTACTAACTAAAAGTAACTTTGCAACTACATGTCAGCTACCAGTCATTAGAGTATTAGTAGACTGTCTGCTTAATATCTGCTATCACTTTATTTTGATGCTCCCCCAACAGATGTTCTACTGACTATAAGGAGCTTTGCAACTACATGTCAACTTATTCTACTAACCTGAACCCTAAACTAACAGTTTACTACAGTCTAATAATACTAACTAACGAAATAAAGTGTAATCAAATGCTGTGCATTACTTCTAATACTAATAAATATACTAATATTCATCTTAATGTCTTTTACGATAAACCACAGAGCTTTTATTTTGGCGGAAATACTGAAGAGAGACCTTAAAGTTTCTGCTTAAGATTTTTGCATCCCTGAATTCATTGTGGGAGACACCACTGTTATCTCAGTTTGTTTTTTTGTTTGTTTATTAATTGAGCAGCACTATTACAAATAGAAAAAAAAGATACAGAACTGTTTTGTGAATGTAAACTCACTGTATCATGTCCTCCTCCTTCTCTACTTTAGCAAATGTGGCCACTTTGTTCTTCAGTAGGTAAAGATGACCTGGACCTCCCTGGAGAATAAAGAGAGCCAATTATGCAGTGGAAAATAACATGCACATAAATACTCCACATGCACACTTGTGAAAAAGCAAGATATGCAAATTATCACACATATTCTTTCCAAACCTGACAGAAGATGAGCATGTTCCAGATTTTGCAGCCTTTTCTGTAGGCGGTGAGTTTCTTTTCAATCTCCTCTGAAGAGAAGAGAGATGAGAGAAGACAGATAGCAGAGAAGTGGAGAGGGAGGCAGCAAGGGATCATATGAAATTACAGCCCAGCTTTTTCATAGTAAACAAACAGCAGGAGTAAATATTAGGCATACAAAAAAAATGTGTCTGGCCAATTAACACGTACCTAGTATATCATCGAAGGTGGCATGTTCATGATCCTGCAGGCAGAATACAGGGCAAGCATGAACAACAACAAAAAAACTGCACAAATCTGAGATAGGAATTATCAGTTGGTAAATATTACGTCACGTTTTTATTTGAACATAACTTAAGCATAATATATGCGCTAAATCACTAGCTTGGCATTACAAAGCAGTCATCTGCAATCTCGAACAATGATGATTTGCACTACTAAAACTTGCATGCGAGAGCTGACTGGCAGACATCATTAGCGGTGCTTAACACAAGGGGCTTTATACTGATAAACAAAACTTTGATTCTCTTTGATCCTGTGTATGACTGCATCATTAAACTATACTCACATAGAGAATGGGGATTATGGAGGGGTCGTCCCGGCGGATTATGTCGGGAACGTACTCGGCCTTTGGTACTTTTGATGAAATTAGCTGTTCAAAAACAAGGATGAATAAAACACATGCGTATTAATGAGCCCATCGATGATCAAAAAGCTGCACTACATTTAATGAGAAATTGATGATGAGTTCATAGGAAGGCAGTTGGCTCATGTCAAAATGGATGAGGGTGATTGAAAGATCCACGTACCATTATTTTGGGTGGGATGAAGTCATCGCCCTCGCAGGCTGCTCTTTCTGACTCTCTCTCTTCCTCCCAGTCGACATCATCACAGTCTTCTTCATCCAGATTGCCAGACGACGCCTGGAGGTCTCCACCTGGGGAAAAGGTAATATGCAAATACACAGAAACACAACACAACACAAGCACATAAACGACCAATGAGATGACAGGTTCTATCAACAAGCATTCTGTTGTTCATGTCTGAGAGGTTGGCCGTTCTAATGTATGTGAGGAGAATGTCTTACAAAGCAACGCATTTAGTGCCATATAGGACACAAAGAGAAAGCACACATATAGACAGCAGAGTACATCTGTGGTAAACAGACATTTTACACATGCACAGATGCTGATGTGTGTGTGTGTGTGTGTGCGCGCATGATGAATAGCACGATGTACGAATCTTGCACAACGCACAAATGAAGCCTCTAGAGAACATGTCCATTTCATATTTAAGATTTTTGTTTTTTAATTAATTACATTTAAGACATTAAATTCTGCCACCCAAAATCATATTCTCATAATAAAAATAAAAAAGGCATTGTTATTACTGCAAATGTAATAAATAAAATGTATTACAAAAGTTTGGGGTTAGTAAGATTTAAAAAATATATATATTTTATTCAGCAAGGATTCATTAAATTGATCAAAAGTATTTTAAATAAATGCTGTTCTTTTGAACTTTCTATTCATCAAAGAATCCTAAAAAAAAGAAGAAAAAAAAAGAGCGGTTTGCACCAAAATATTAAGCAGCACAACTGTTTTCAACATTGATAATAATAAGAAATGTTTCTTGAGCACCATATCAGCACATTATAATGATTTCTGAAGGATCGTGTGACACTGAAGACTGGAGTAATGAAGCTGAAATGTCAGCTTTGCCACCAGAGGAATAAATTCCATTTTAAAATGTATTCAAATAGAAAAACATTACTTTAAATTATAATAATATTTCACAATGTTACTGTTTCACTGTATTTTTGATCAAATAAATGTAGCATTGTATTGGTGAGCATGATAAGAGACAGTCAAAAACATTCAAAAATCTTTACCCCCCCAGACTTTTGAACGTTAACTGTCTTTAAAAATATAAACATGCTGTTGTACTTCCTTTAATCAATGTTCCTTTTAAGACAAGTCAGTCCAACTCCTATTCACTCCAGTTGGCAAGAACAGAAATATCAAACAGAAAAGCTGTTTGTAATTGTTATGTTTAAAGTTACGTTTAAATAAGACCGGGACATGATCTTGACAGGCATCATAAGATTTGTATATGAATGTTTTGTGTGGGTGACCAATAATGTACATGTACTGAAATCAGAAAAATATACACCATGGCTGTGTGTGTCTTTCTGTGTGTGTGTGTGTGTGGACTCACTGTCTCTGGAGTCATGGAGAGAGTCAGGCTTGACGGGTGTGGGGTCACTCCAGGAGCGGCTGAAACTCTTCGCTTTGCGATCAGCAAATGCTAATAACAAAGCGGAGGAGGAAAGCATCACACACACTGCTCTTCAACACACACACTCTCTGGGCTCTTGTCTGAGGTTGGGATGTGACATGTTTGAGGATTTCTCCACTTTAGGCTGACTACTTCTAAATATTCGAATCAATTTCACTCTGTATACTGTAACACTTATTGATGAGAGAGAGGCGATGTATGCAGAAACTAAGTCACATTGCTAGTTGTATATCAGACAAGAGCATCGGTTTCATCCTTTTGACCAGGGGTCTCATTTATAAAACTGTGCGTAGGATCCTTACTAAAAGTGTACGTGCGTCCGAAAACCAAAAATGGCGTACGCAAACAAATATTCTGACTTATAAAACCGTGTGTACGCCAGAACCTGCGCAGAATACACTTTATAAATCCCAGTCAGCGGAAGATTGTGCGCACATGCGTCTCCTCCTTGAAACAACCATATATGGAGATTATAACGCCTAGTTTTACTATGCATATCCTCATCTGCATATCATTTGCATATGATTATTCATCCACGTGATAACATGTTTAACAGTACAAGACATTTGGAAAATATGAAATACGGATGTGCCGTCACATTAGTTACATTAATAAAAAATAATTTAGTAGCCTATATCCTTGCCTTGTTTTTGAATAAATAAATCAAATAGTGTAAAATACATTTCAGAGAAAGTTTTTCTCAATCTTTTCCACTGGCCAAATAGTATTTTAATTGATTTATATTTTTAATGGAAACAGAAAGACCTTGTAGTGCATTATTTGCACGAAACTATTTTCTCAGACAGTCTGCTATTATCATGATAAGCAATTATCTCTGTAGTTAACACATTAAAACACAGCATGCCAGAGGAAAAGTGTTTGAAAGCATTGCATCCACAACAAATATTTCTATTTATTGAATATAAAAAAATGTTGTAACTTCTCAGTAATGATTTCATGTAATTTAAGTGTCTAACTCCATTAATCAGAATGGCATATTTAATCTAAATGTTTATATCAGAAGTAAAACATAGTTTTAATTATTTAAACTGTTATTGTGAACATATTTCACAGAACACTGTATTTATGATTATAATGAAGATTTACGGTTTTAGATAGGCTGCTTCAGTTTCACTAAAGAACAAAGGGATGAATATTTAACAAAGGGATGGACATTTAAAAAGGGATGGATGTTTGCTTCATGTGATAGGCTTGGTGAGTGAAATTATATTCGTATTATCTTTCTGTATACGGTATGTATAATTTTCTTTAGATTTTCGGTCTAAAAGTGACCAAAAAGACATTTAGCTCCAGCTTACCATCCATGTCGCCAAACTGCTCCGTCTCCAAAACGTGCGTACGCACGGCTCAAAGTTTGCTTAAAGGTGCGCACATTCTCCCGTCAAGTTTGTTTTTTATAGATCACAACCTTTGCGTGGAAACTGGCGTATGTACGTTTCCAGCCCCGTTTTGTGCGTACGCACGCTTTATAAATGAGACCCCAGATGCTTGAAGCACCTGTGACCCCTGAAAATAATTCATCTGACACCATGAATTATTGTCAAGCAATGGCATGTTCACATATTTGCATTGAAAAATCACACACAATTTGCACACACAACTCACTCTGGGTCTTCACCTTCCTGCTGCCCACCATCCTCAAATGTTTCCGGAAGTTTCTGGGATAGAAAGGATTTTCAGAAGCACAGTAGATTGGAAAGAGGTATAAGATGAGAGGGGGAAAACATAAGAAGAATGGGAAATGGAGTAAGAGGAGACAAAAATGGAAATGTTAAACACACTTTCAAACAATCCATTTATACATGGTAGCATTAGCATGGCAGATTACGGACAGGGACGAGTGTTTGAAGTTATACAACAAGCTCAGTGCACTCCAAACAAATCTCCAGTCCTCACTGTTCCTCTGCAAAAAAATAGGCAAACATAAACAGTTTGTCCCAGTTTGACACTGCTTCAGGCTTCAGAAACACATTTACTCATCTGCGTGTCTGTATTTTCAGATATTTAAGCACACTGTTTGATCTTTTAGCTTAAAGTCACCAAGAAATCTAAATGGACATTTCTTATATTTTATGGAATATTGCAGTTTATTATAAATAATTTATCTGTGCAAGTTTTTTTTTTTTTTTTTTTTTAAATCATGTGCTCTCTTTAATCAAAATATCTTTTCCTTCCCCTCTCTTATCTCACTCTTCAGGACAATAATTCCTTCTTTCCATCAAACTGTCACTCACATGAGATCACAGCAACTAGCAAACAACAACAATCTAATGAACCAATCAATTCCAGATGGACAAAATCAAGTCCCATCCAACATCTTTTCTCAATTGAGAAGCTGCTTCATTCGGATATACGTCACAATAGGGAAGATCACAACTTCAGGGGAAATTCCAATCGGAAGTGAGCATCCCTATGCCCTACTCACTCCGAATAGCAGAACATGACCATCAATTATTAAATTACTTCCTTGACGTGACCACTGCATGTTCCCTTCACTAACGGACTTGTGGAAGGGGTCTTCGTGAAGGGATTCAGTTGTTAACTTTCGTTTGGAACGCTCCTACAAATCTCCCTTCGAGAGTGCAAAAATGCAGTTTGGAATTTTCCCTTGGTTTCATACTGACTTTAAATGAACATAATAGAAATCTGAAATGTTCAAACTTAAACATGCAAACTTAAATTAGCATTTTTTTTCCACTTAAGTGTCTTACTACTTTTGAACATACTGTATGTTTAAAATTGTGAATATAAATAGGAAAATAAACTGGAGAAATTACTTTAGTAAAGTCAGTGGCCAAGTAAAATCTGTTTTACATAAGACAGGTCGCCGCCTCATGGAGGCTGACAATTTGTGAGATTACATGATCTGTCAAATACTACTCTACTTTATGGGTGAAAAAAACAGGGTAAATAAGGTATTTTTACAACACCATTGGTAACCAAAAACATTTGATTTTGTGTGATGTAACATCCATGCAGATAGATGTCAGTATAAACACTGTATTGGCCCGTGAAACATAAATGACCTACTTCCATACTATATGGTAGGTACAGTGGCCCTCATTTATCATTCTTGCGTAGAAACGGGCGTATATGTTGGCGTAAGATTATGCTTACACTCCTCTCACCGCCTGATTTATGAAGCTGTGCGTACCTTTGAAATCCAGGTGTACGCAATGCCTGCCCTTGATAAATCCCGCGGCTGAAAACGATCGTCATTAGAATAACACGCCCCTATATATTCAAGTCTCCGCTTCCCCCACGCCCTCATTTTACGCCATAGACACACGGAAGACGGCAAAGAAGAGAAACTTCTCTGACGTGAAGCCGAAATGACCTATCACAATGCATTATTTTACAGCACGTCTTTTGAATTAGCATCTTACAGTCTATGATTAGCATTCAATTTCGAATCACGTTACATGTATTGGGGTGTACAATAGTGATGATGATGATGTGATGTGGAGTACCATTCATTCACATTAATAATTGCATGACAATTTGTAATATTCTTCTTATTATTAGTATGATTTGTATTATTAATGACGCTTTTTGTTATTTAGAAGAAGAATGTCATTATTATTATTTGTATTATTATTATTATTTAAAAGAAGAAGAATGTATTTTTTATTATTTTGTCAGTCTGAATTATTTTTTGGTCATTGAAAGCCTTTCGTTACCGAACTCAGTCCGTGCGCACCTGCCGGGCCAAACCATGAAACGTCAGGGTAAAGCGCACAGGCTCGCAACTGAAGGAATACATATGGCTACAAATCAAATGCTTTGGTAAAGTCACACAAATTAAACATTGAAGTCCATGTTGCACAAAAATAAACACTGAAGTTTATAATTACTATGTTGTTGTTTTTTTTTTTTTACTGTGGGTCATAATATATAATATCTTTTAGTTTGTCAGTGCGTTTTGTGGTGTTGGGAATTGTTTTTCTGCACATTTCCGCACTAACTCAAAACGTGCGTACACCACCTCCTGAGCTGGCGTAGGATTTGAGCGTGCCGTACGCCAACGTCCATATTGATAAATCTCAAAGTCACCGTGGTTTTGGGTGTACGCCAGGTGTACGCTGGAAATTTGGTGTACGCACTTTTGATAAATGAGGGCCAGTATGTCTGAAATTTCATTCATACTATATAGAACATACTTTTTTAACAGTCAAAGTAAATTTCAAACCAAATGTAGTACCTACTATACACACAGTATGTGATTTCGGACACAGCCTTAAATTCACCTGTGGGTACGTGTTACAGTAAACCTTGCTAACAATATGAATAACTTCATAGTGCAAAAACATTACAAAATTTCACTGTGCTTCATGTTTTCATTACTGAGTTCTGGTGACTTTCAAACCAGAAAATCGCTCACAGAAAATTGACTACTACAAACTGCCTCATCAGAGAATGAAAGCAAGTTCAGTTGACCCACTCCTTCAACTGACAGCCTTCCTCCTCTCATTAGCACTCTACACTTGTTCTCCATGCATCATGTCACCATGGTTACACCGTAGTGTAGTATTGTAGAGTAAGCCGTGGAGAGGTAGGTGGCCTTTCCTCATTTGCCAACAAATAATAGAGCAGCTCACACACTCAATGTGGAGCCTTTAAAATAAAGGAGAGCCGGGCCAGGGATGAAATAATGAGGCAATTTGGCTTGTACAAAAAACAGGATCAAAACCGATGGCCATATTGTAGAGTAAGCATTTTGTTTCTGCAGTCATGATGCAGTTGCACAACACCACAATATTAAAAAGAAGCACTGCGGCCTAAACCAGTAAAATATACTGCAGGAAAAACTAATATTCTTGCAGTATGCGTAGCAGAGGACATTTTTTTACAGCATGTACTGTACTTGTGCCGCTATGAGCCTCTAATCAAATTCACCAACATGAACATTTTACAAAAGAGAAAAGGGCTTTTTTTTTATATCGCTGTTATATTTGAGATGGCTACAAAGAGCATGGTGACAGTGCATCTGTATAGTTGTCAGAACTGCTTTTCTTCTTATGTCCGTCTTGCTGACAACCTTCTAAACTGCTGTCAAAGTTAATGTGCCGGCTGAGAGGGAAAGTGCGCAGATCTTCATCAAGTTTCAAAAATAGAAGCGCGTATCAAGAGAACTATGAGAATCATTTTTAATTAGACGCTCTAACGATCTTAATCCTCATTTGTGAGCGAGCTGAAAATAGAGTGATCAGTCAGATCGCCGGATTGTGACATGTTGATCCTCACAGAAATGTGTTGAATATAACAACACATTTCTTAAAAAGCAGAGCCATTAAAATTGGGAACAATAGAAACAGCTCAACGTTTAAATAAAACAACTGTGCCAGAAGATTTAGAGCATGTTCTACTTTTTTAATCTGATGAAACTCAGCACAATTAAAAATACTATGAGCTTCAAGGGATAGTTCACTGAAAATGCTGTCATGATTTACTCACCCTCATGTTGTTCCAAACCCATATTACTTTATTTCTTCTATGGAACATAGAAAGTGCTTTTGAAGAACATATTGTTCTCAAAAATGACGATTGGGGCTGTCAAGCTTCAAAATGATAAAAAAGGCATTCCCTCTTTGATGTGTTCAAGAGAAGTAGATATTCTGATTTGTGAATGAATCACAAAGCAGAATGATGCGTTCACTAATTGAACGGGTCTAATTCAACTGTGAAGTCAACTTATTGACTCAGTATTCAGTTACAGTAGGTTAACATCTCACAGAGTAATATTATTAGTTAATAAATCAGCTTAAATGTTGGTATGTCCATCACACAAAGCTACTGTATTAGTAATGTTTCAAAAGACTTGGAATGCAGCACACAAATCAAATGGATATGAATGCATAAAAGGATTTTGTCACCATTGATTGTGATTGCATGGAAACAATGGACCAAGTTATTATTATTATTATTATAAAACTGTATGACAGAATAAAGACACTCTTAAAGGTTTTGAAAGACATAAAAGTGAGTAAATGATGGCATAATTTTCATTTTTGAGTGAACTAAACCTTTCATGTGCAGTTGTTTTGTAATCCTAATGGATGGAACCAATTATCTGCAACCTTCCCACAGACACAGGCTTCTACAGTAATGTTGTTGAACAGCGTCATGGGATCACTGGAAAACACTAAAAGCTAGGAAAACACTCACAGTCTGCTCTTTTTTTCTGTATAATAAAAGAGGAGCTGAACTCTTTTACACATTTGCTGGGAAGATGAAAACCATATCTGTCCTTTCAATTGTCCTACACATTAGTTCTCTCTAGCAATTCTGCATCATGCTGGGAAGACTTTTTTGATGATTAGGTTTTACTGGTGAACAAATGTTTTTAAATATGTAAGCCAATTCAACCAGGTGAAATGAGATTTGCTGTTGAGTTATTCATGGTGCAGATGGCATTAGTGTCCTGCGTGACACTAGACTGATAAGTGAAACTCCGAAAGTGTTCAGTTGTCAGCTGTATCGATTAACACACTCCAGATACTGCACCTTTGGTTATTCGACTGACCTATTGATCCAAGCAGCCAAACACAGAGAGAGAGACACACACACCCAGGTGGTTTGTGTGTGTCTGTGCATCCATCAGGTTTTGCTTTAATTTAAAGGCAGTAAACCTGAAATCACTTATATTGTGGGGAACAGCAAATGGCTTAGTGTACATCAAAAAGAAATTCTAATGTAAATGTAAAAATTCATAAAGGTTTGTGTGAAGGGTTAGGTTTAGGGGTTTGGCAATAGAAAATATCACTAGCTCTGCATTAAACCAATACAAGTCAATAGAAAGTCCCCACCATTGGGGTCAGTAAGATTTTTCTAATGTTTTTGGAAAAAAGTCTCCTATGCTCACCAAGGCTGCATTTATTTGATCAAAAATACAGTAAAATAGTACTATTGTGAAATATTATTACAATTTAAAATAAAATGCTGTGCTGCTTAATATTTTTTCCAGAATTCTTTGATGAATTGAAAGTTTAAAAGAACAGCATGTATGTGAAATAAAGTCTTTACTGTCATTTGTGATCAATTTAATGCAACCTTGCTGAATATTATTTTCTTTAAAAGAATATTTTATTTCTTATTTTAAACTTCATCTCACAAAAACTGGTTTTATTTTTTACTCTAGCGTGAAAACTGGCTTCTGCAGAACTCCCTGGGTTTAGATCAATAAAAAGCTGCTGGCTTTCTGCTTGGTAAACCTAGTATCAGAACTCCACAGGGAAGTGTGCAAAAGAGGAAACAGTTCTTCATGTGTAGTATGCAGGATCAGAGTTTGGACTTTAAAGATCTGATGCGATACACACACCATAATACTACAGTAACACAGGACAACACAAAACACCATCTTTCCGCTGTCTCACTCTACGTGTGTGTGTGTGTGTTTTGGGAAGGGCCGTGACACAGGACATTAGGGCCATTAGACAGTACCTCTCCATCAGTGCGGTGGCCTCTTGCTCTCTTTTCCTCCTTTTTCTCTCTGCAATTCCACGAAACGCCCTGCTGGGACCGGTCACAGTGTTATAGGTGTGTGTACAGGGAGCAGTGCAAAGGGAAAAGTCTAGAGTGGCCACAGAAAGGTTCAAACCACAACAGGAGCTGATCACCACCCACAGGTCAAAGGGACACGACTACACGCACGTTCACAAACTAAACACTACGACCACAGCAAAGTCAAGTGTAACAGACACTCAGTCACCAACCAGCACAGAGAATCAGTTCACAGAAATCTGTAACATCTGTGTGGGAGTGGTATCATATCTAGCACGCTTCTATTGTTTTTATATAGCCATCATCACTGACAGTTTATGTTAAATCAAACTCCTGTCCCCAGTATGAGGTTAATGACAGCCCAGAAGCTACTTTCTGACAGTGCATGTGTGCATTTAATTGCATGTGGATGTGTCCATGTGACTGCATCCTGAAATCCTTCAGAGCCTTGACAGATTGGTGACGGTCTTGGAACACTGCGTGCAAATCTTGATGAGTGACTTTTCTGGGGTATACTTGGGCTATATTTGTATATTTTGCATGCAATATTCAACAGTGATGGCAGCAATCACCATATTGCTCCTAACAGGGACAGTCTACAGTTTTTTTTCAAATTTGTTAAAATATATACAACTCATTATAGTCAAAATACAAGCTTTGTTCCAAAATCTAGTCAACAGTCTACCTAGATCTTATTTTAGAAGACCGTAGCCAGGCTCCCGACACGGAAGCTATTCCTATAGGTAGGTAGGTACATTATGCCGCTCTCTCTAAAATACCTTGTTTTTAGATACAATTTAAGGCCGCATTGCAGATGAAGATGATAGAAATTTTGATTATAAATATATTTCATTCAATATCAAAAAAGTATTGATAAATAATTGAAATTGTATTTTTTATACATTACAGTATATTACTTTGTATTTTTTCAAAATCAACACAATTTAAATCAATACATCATCAATCCCATTTCCAAAATGTGTTTTTGTCTTACCCTGATTCACTATGGTAAGCCTATTATATGCGTTTATATTTTAGACCTAGCGGGATGGTTTGCGTGTTAAATTGCATACATTCATCACTCCTGTGCGTGTCTCGTCATATCCGTAAATAGAGAAAAGTTGTTCCTTCTACTTTGATGCGGGTATGGTGTGGAAGTGGCATAGGTTAGTTTTCACAACAAGCGAGAAAGCTTGAAATGAAGTACGCTAAATCTTTAATCTCCGGGTAATCACAGGAGAGTCTGCTGGCAAAAAGAGAACATGACCGAACTCGTAATAAAACAAGAATCAACATTGACTTGGCTTTTCAGAGATTGCGGAGCCGAGAACTGAGGTATTTGAAAGTAAAAGTGATGCGGAGATGGCGTTTTTATTACTCAACAGGTGAGTAAGGTATTTTACTGAACAGATACATTTTCATATGTAGCTCTCTAACAGAGTTCAATGTAAAGCATTATCTATTGTAAAGGCTCTTTTCATTATGATTGTTGTAGCGCTGTGCTGGAATATATTCTCAATGAAGTACCGTGTCTATTAAGGGGTATAGCTACAGTACATCTTCAGCCAGTCAGCTTGAGATCCTTTCCATCTACACTGGTTATATCTCTTAAGCCTAGTAGTACATGTTTTAAGAGCACCATATTCATCTGCACAGTCACACGGAGCCAAAGCACAACCAAACAATGTTCTTCCGCAAAATGCATCAAGTTTTTTTTTTTTTTTTACACCACTAGAGGGCCAAAAGTTACATAGTGTGCCTTTTAACATCAGCATGTTAACATGAAACACTGTTTATAATGTTATGGTTATGTGTCATGTTGCATTGGTTGCCTTAAGATACATTTAGAATACATTTGAGTTAGGCTGAATTCAGTCTTAGTCGAGTTCAACTTTACTCCACATACTGCTGATGGATTTCTGCACTTTTATCCAGATCAGTCGCCTATGAGTTTAGAATGTTAGGAATGAACAGTAACGCAGCTTTCTAGGTTTTGGAACAGAGCATCAGTAACTAATTTGTGGTTAAAACATGGGCAAAAAAAGTGGTTAAAGTTCAAAGGTCAGGTCACCATAGTAGTACAACAAACAAGGTCTTTCTCCTACACAGCAGCTGAAATGTGAGTAGCGATGACTGATATTGGTATATCAAGAGCATTATGTGTGCTGTATGAGACAGAGTTCCTCCATAACTTCAAACACTCTGTCCAATGCTGGTGGAGTGAGAGTTAACACAGGACAAGGAGAGGCGGCAGCACAGAGGAGCAGAGGGTGGGGATGGAGCGGAGTGTTGACTTTTTAAAACAATGGGCTAATGAGAAAGGAATACTCACGATATTCTTTAGAGCCAAGGAGAAGCAAAAGAGAAAAGAGAGAACAGTGCTTTAACCATCACAAGAAAACACATGAAAAGTAAAAAGGTAAGGTACACAGTAAATAGAGTGTCTTTCAAATATAAACACTGGGTCAGGTCTCATGAAAGAATCACCAAGTGCTTTTTCACCACCTATTATAGTCAAATCACAAAATGACAGACTACAGCCAAACATTTCGCACAAACTGAAATGGTTCTAAAGTGAAAGTGTTGATTAGAAACCAGGAAAAGGAGGGAATGAATAAGTGAGAGGAGAAAATGAATTTAGTAGTTGCAGTGCACTTGGTTATTCGACTTAGGGAGTGGGTGGGAGAGCAGAGTAAGGTTGAGGGGGGGAGACAACATGCATGTCGGCTGGAGGGAGACGGACTGCACCCCAGTGGGGGGGCTCAGCCAGTGGGCTCTGTGATTAAGACTTCTGCCCGACAGGTGAAAATTAAGCAGTCAAACTGAGCAAAAGCATCTGTGCACAGAAAAGAATGAAGCCTGAGTTCACTCGACTCAAAAGTTGAAGACTAAACGAAAGAGAAAGAGGGAGAGAAAGAAAAAGATGATAGGATGGGAAAGAAAAAGAGCTAGGAAGAGGACAAAGAAGAGAACAAAAAAGGCAAAGAGAAAGGAGAGTGGGAAAAGGAATGGAAGGAACAGACAAATGGAAAGAGGAAGAGAAGGAGAAAGAAATTGAAAGGAGGTTGGGAAAAAAGAAAAAGAAAGAGTAAGAGATTAATGAAGAGAGAATAAGGGAAAAAGAAGAGGAAAAAAGAGAATCAAGATGACAAAGAAAGAGAAAGAAATGGAAAGAAATAGACAGAGGAGAGGAAATAAGAAAAGGAAAAAAGATGAAAAGTAAAAGGAATAGAACAAAGACGGCAAAGAGAAAGAGGAAGGGAAACAAATGGAAAGAAAATTTAAAGATGAAGAAAAAGTGACAGAAACAAAAGGAAGAGAGAGAGAGGAAGTGACAGATGAAGGGGAAAAGAAAAAAGGAACAGGATCAGGAAGAGAATGAAGAAGGTAAAGAGAAAGTAGAAACGAAACGGAAATGGAAAAGAAAGATGAAGAGACAGAGAATGTGAAAGAAGAAGGGAAAAGAGGAAGAGGAAGAGAATAAAGAAGGGAAAGGGAAAGGGGAAGGGAAACAGTAATGGAAAGAACCGGAAAGGGGAAAGAGAAAGAGAATGGAAAAGAAGACAAATAAAAAGAGAAAGGAAGGGAAGGAGAAAGAGAAAGAATACTCCTGTCCTCCCACATGCATGAGTCAGGATAGCTTAAATTATATGTCTGCTTCAGAGACCAACCCTACAGAGGAAGCCAAAGGATGAAGTGAGAAGTTTGATGAAATGCAATCCCACTCACGCTTGCATGGTGGTGGTCGCAGTCTGAAAGCTAAACATGTTCTCTTTAGGGAACCAGCTGTTCGCGTGATCCTCTGCAAACAAAAAGAGCAAAGGTAGCAGGTATTGTGTAAATCTCAAAGTCAAAAAACCAATTAACAGTCATTCAGTGATCGTGATCTTCTCCTTACCTCGATCTTCAGAGGACACACGGTCCTCACTGTACATTCTCTCCAGCTTCTTGTGCTGTTTGCCACCACTGTGAGGTGACGTCTCAAGGTCCAGAGAGCGCTGGCTCTGGCAGTGTGGGCGAATACAGGCAACACAATCCGGCGTGCAGTCCTCTCTAGACCTGCTCCGTCTCGACCCCCAGTCCCTGATGTTATGGGCACTACCTGAGCTCTGCAAAGGTTGGGTCAGAGGTGCATGGCCATAGTGATGCTGGTGGCTGGGGCCGTTGTTTCCACGATGGTGGCTTCCTCGATGATGGCTGCTATGTAAATTGGAGGGAGCATTGCTTCTTGGCGGGTCTGTGGTCCTCTTCAGCACCTCTAGTTCCAAACTCTCCTCGCTTCCCTGGCCCCTGAGCATATCTCGCTCCCTGGTGATGGTGTAGACACGTGCTGGCTTCAAAGAGCTTTCCGCACGCTTTTGATTCTGCTGGTCCTCAGAAGAAAGGCTGCGTTCTACGGAGAGACGACGCTTGGAACTGGTTTGAAGGGGTGCAGACTGGCTGTCTGGCTGAGCCTCTTCTTGACTGGGCTTGACTATGAGAGTGTGTTGGGAATATGGCTGGAGGCTGTTATTGTTGTTCAGTCGGTTGATGTCAGGGGAGTCTGTATCTTGACCAATGAAGGCGTCAGACAACAACTGATCTGGAGTGAGACATAAATAAACCCAGAAAAACAGATTTTTCATCTTGTCTAGGCAAAGACAGGGGCCAATAAAGCTCTTCTATAATGATCAATTGAAAAATGACTGGGTGAGTGGTCAGAGGTGGAATTAATGTTAAACATAAAGAATGATGCTTTGGCTAATGTAAGTATTAATACACTCAAGTACTTCACAAACTGTAAAACAGGTGAATATGAGGAGACAAAAGACAAATGAAGGTAGGGCATGAGGTGGAATGAACCTAACCTGCTCCGTTGCGGTTCTCAGGGTGTGTGTGAGAAAGATACTCTCCAAATGCTCGAGCTGCTCTGCAGAGAGACAAACAGAAGACCAAATCAGAGCATGGAGATACAACTCTCGGTCTTGATATACTTTCGCATGCTGATGCATTTAGATCTCAGTAGTTATTCATAATCCCTTTGTTAAATCTGATGTCACACAAACAATCACTGTTTTCGGGTCCAAATGCTCTTTCAGATCCCAAAAGCAAACAAAAATGGTGCTAAAATACAGCCACATTGTGCTGTAGTACTACCAAAAAACTCATGATGATCCTAACCATTATCTCCATACCAAAAACTCAGTTGGCCAGAGATTCATTTTCTTTTCAGATATTTATAGAATTTTTAAAATACTGGTGTTTGGGACACTTGTGGTGGGCTGTGAATGAACACTGCTTGGACCCGGAAAAGTATTTGATGCGTCATGACTTCTCAAGTAGATAGTTTTTAATTATAATATTACAAACGTCATCAATATTTCACATCCATTTCAATGGACCTGTTCTATAGCGTTACACAGAGACATTTACAGACCACTAACTTTATCAAGCAATTTTAGATTCTGCTCTTGGCCACTACTAATGCACTTGAGCTTTCCATTTAAATATAACGTCTGCATTTAAATATAACGACTCTGACCATATTTCTCAACTAAACACTGAGATGTGCAGTCAAGACTCAATACTGTTTTTTTTCCACAACGCAAAGCATAAGACTACAGGTGTAACTCAGTCTATTTCCCACATTCCTATCTCACAAGTGAAAATAGGAAACATTAGCAGATGACACAAATTATGCCTCCAATTTAAACTAGGCCACCACACTGCAGATGCTTTAAGAAAAAATGCTGAAAAACTCCATATACCATAATTTCTCTAGGCAATGAGGTGTAAAGCAGTGAATGAAATCGAGATGCATACACTACAGGTTCCAGTATGAGGCCACTCAGCTGCTGTGGTACAAGAACATGGCTCCTAATTTGAATTGCTGTATGAAGGGAGGGAGCAATAGCACAGAACTCAGGAAGCATAGTCAGGAACAGAGGTCGCGTTAGATCTTTCTCATTTCTCAGGGTTGAAAAAATATGAAAAAGTCATATTCTAATATTAACCGTCATTTTAATTTTACATTTAATGATAATAAGACTTTTAATAGCTCTTGTTTTCGTTCACATTTAATCATGAACTTACAGGATGAGCGTATGGGCTATATTATGCATATAATTATTTAAGAAGAGAACAGATGAAGAGTGTCACTTATGTTTAGCACCACACGATAAATGTTTGTTTTCCCCCCACAGTGACAGTGGAGGCAACTAAAACAAGACCTTTGTGCCTGAACAGGCAAATATGAACAATGCAATATATTACATAATATAATTCAGATTATAATATGAACAAAATGTAAAAAATGAAGTGAACTAAACTCAATCAACATATTTGAGTATTTGCCTGAACTCAAATCTTCCTCACTGCTAAAAAAATTAGTCAATGACAGAAAATATTTGGTTAAAGCGACCTCAGGTAGGAACGATGAGTTTGTTATAAAGAAGGAAAAGGGAAACATCTTTATGAGTAGAACCCTGTGTTCTCAGCAATAAAAGACAGGATTCAAAGAACTCTGTCTCGTACATTGTCAAACCTTTCTCTCATTTAACCAGCAGGATGACCTTTATGCGATGTTTTCATTGTATGTGTGTGTGTGTGTGTGTGTGGTTATGCCACTGAAAATGGCTTCCACAATGCTGACAATTGAAAACAAAAAAAATGGATGCATTTGCACTCCCGATGGCCCTTACAATCAGCATAGATGATTTATACAAATCATTAATACATTCGAAGAGCTGCCAGATTCCATTATAAAATTCATCACTCCGCCTCTTAAGCATTGGAAAGGTTTAGACAGTATTCCCCCCTCCTGTGTGGCCCTGCGAGAACACTACTAATGCAGCCTAAACGCTTGCATATGCTGGGGGAGTACACCAACTAGCAAGCACAACTGAAAAATAGCACCCAACCCGTTTCACTCACCTTGTTTTTAATTTAGTTCCCAACTAATGATGCCTTCCCACACACATGTTTCTCCTGCACAAGCTCAATAAATATGTAGATTCTAACATGCATAAATAGACTCTTTGAATCCCACCTCCATCCCTGCACTTTGAGAAATGTACATGCTACACAAATGCACACAGATGAACGCTGTGAACTGACAAGCACCTCCACAGGCATAATCAGCACGCTATGGGCAAATTGTGCAGTGTCTGCCTCTCTCTAGAGATGCTGGGAAATGTTGTTGGAGTAGCTATGCTTTACTGCAACGACAGTTTGAATAATTAAATACTAGCCAGCATGTGCATCTCTCTCTCTCCTCACACAACAAACTGTTCTAACAGATGGGAAGAGAGAGTGCAATTGTCCAATCCCTTTCTCATCATTCTTCTCACTGTCTCACACAGTGCCTGGAGTAGGTACAAGCTAAATGTTTTAAAGTGTGATGGGCCAATCAAAAAACATTGAAGGGCAGAGGTGGACTAGAACTAAAAGAGAGGAGCGGACCTATGCCGACACATCGAAATCCACAGCGTTTGTGTTATGATTGTACTGACATGGTTAACTTGAAATGTAAGGATGGTCCTAAAATAACACATTTAGCCTCTAGTCGGTGAGGAGAGGTGTGTGTGCAGGCAGATAGCAGGAGAAATGGGATGGGACGTCTGACGGCAGACAAGGAAGTACAGTGCAGAAGGCTGTTCGGAAAAAAAGTTCCCCGCTAGGACACAAATCATTTTCAATAAGACTGGAAGGCAGAACTCAGAGCGGGAGCAATCCCGTAAAACTGCTGTGAATGTGCGATAGATAAGTGGAGTGGGTGTCTGAGGGCAGTACGCCAGGATCCGAAGCTTAAACGGGCTGGCCTAGTGGACATTTTTCTCCCTGCAAATCTTTGTATATTTACCGCTTATAAAAATTTTGTTTTGACTACCAATGTCATGAGAAATCAGGTCTTGCCTCAACATCAGGTCTCCATCAACTATTAGTTAATAGTTTTACCAAGTCCAGTAGTACACACAAGACTGCAATGTTATTACCACTTTCAAGGCCCAGAAAGGGAGTAAAGACAAAAGTTTAACACTTATATAATTACGCATTTGTACTTTGTACATAATCTTGAATGTAGTGTATAAGCTAAGCTATCAGACTAATCGTGTATCTTTATGCTATGCAAGTGCGCAAGCTTACTAAAAGTAAACAGACATTAATTGTTGTCATTATAACATAGTTCAAATTACATATATCATAACACATCATTATAATCAGGTGATAGGAGTACCCATTAAGAGTTCGTTGAGCCAATGGGACAGCTTGTGGTCCTAACAGAGATCTGGGCTGCGTTCAGCCCAGACAAAACGTTGCACAACCTTTTTTATACAGAAACGGTGATGCGTTGAACACACTGTTCTGATGACGCAAGAGTTGCAACTATGGCAGCTGAGAAGGCCATTCTTTGTGAAGAATTTTCGGAGCCTGATGAAGTCGGTATAAATATGTGTTTAATACTACAAAATATGCCCGATGTTACAGTTACTGCACTTGCCGGCCAGAACACAAGAGAACATCCCAATCGAGTGAAGGGATTTGTGGAAACTGAAATGGCAGCACACATCTTACCTAATTCAGACTAAAACACATCTATTTAGCCTCACATACTGACTTTATTTGTAGTTCATACTGTTTTAATACCCTGTATTTTCTTTCTCATCTTTAGGAAAAGCACTTAATTACCATTGTTTATTTCTATACCAAATGTCATACACTTGCAATGAAGCTAAAAATATAAACAACTACATCATTATGTTGATATCCTATATTTATTTTTTACAATAAAACTTACGACAAACATGTATTCTAATATCCTCAGTTGTTGCGTATACCGAGCTGCATCGAACACATTTGTAAATTACTTTCCTTGAACCCATTGTGCGAGTTCACTTTAATACCGCGTGCTTTATATACATGTTGCTGCTGATTGGACTGCAGTTCTGACACACCCACCAAACAAGAGAAAACGCATCTCAAACCCCGTTGCACACCGGTGCACGCCGTTTCCAGGAAACATGACGTTCAACAAGGAAACCGTAGCAAAACGTTGCGCACCATTTTGAACTTGAACGTGCCCCTGATTTCTCTTGACACCGACCCACAAGTCAACTGGTGCACTGGAAAAAGTCGATTCCTGTAAGAGGGTTGGAGAGGACACACTGAGAACACATGCCTGTAATAGACAAGGACGGATTATGGTCCAGCTACGTTGGGCAATAGTCGATATGGAATTAGTCTAAATAACAAGAAATTGCATTGCAAAAATGAGAAATAAAACTGCGGTTGTGAGAATAAACATGCGGTCATGTGCAATACACCGCAAAATCGATGCCAAATTATCGATGCAATAAGGTGTTCAAAATGAACTCAAGGTTCTTAATTTATTTTAATATATATACACATTCAACTGGCACATATTCAGAAGTTCATTTATGTGAATTTTCCATTGGCAGTGACTTGTTTCCAGTCAGTGTCAGGCCACCATGGGCCTCTTGGCTGGAGGTCTCTGACTCTGACAGTCAAAGGCCCCCAGCACTGGCCCCATTGGCTTGTATTATAATCTATCCTGTTAAAGATTCAAGGAGTGAGGCAGGGAAAGTGATACCTCACCCCACACATTCATTGCTGAACCGCTAAACCTCAAAACTGCCAGCTTGTCCACTCTGTGATTAATTTGTGCCTCTTTGAAATCCAATTGTTCTACATTAATACCTTCTGCCTAAGAGCGAGGCACAAGCAATTACCTTATTAGTGTGAGGATAGTTTACTGTTCTTTTTTAGTTCAAAAATCTCCGATTCAAAACAACAAAAGCTACTCAGTTGGAGAGAATTAAATTATGAATAATAAATATTGAGAAGCAGTAAGAGAGGCCCAAATCACTCACAAACTTATTTCTCCTCTCTCTTTCGCACACAGTCTAGCCTTCGTCTCATGCCAGTTTGTCTTGAGGGTGTAGTAGTGTTTTCATCTGGGAGCATCTCTCATGTTTTAAGCCAAGTGACAGTAAAGGGGGAAGGGGAGGAAGCAATGAGGCAACGCAGAGAGAAGCGTTTTAACCAGCAGATGCTTTAACCAGGACTGCTAGACGAAAGCCCCGTGGCGCTCCAGAAGAAGAGGCGGATGACTAGTGATTCAGATGAACAACATGAAGATACAAGCAGATGTAAAAACAATAACTGCCCAATGTGGACACAAATACACACTGACATTTAGATTGAATGCATGAGGCTATAAGTGCATGAAGGCAGCATGGGTAAAGGAGAGTTGAGATAGCACATCCTGGAGCTGTTTTCATGAGTCTGTTCACGCACAGAATGAGTGTTTTTGCCCTGGGTGACTATGACTTCAGCAGACCGCTTTGGTGAGCTACACTAATTTAGCAAAAAGCAAGTACAGTTTGTTCTTGAGTGCCTCAGACGCATTAACCAGAACACCCATGTGTGACATGACCCCTTTCTCTCACATTTTTTTCTAGTCCTCCTCCTTGTTTGCTTATAATGAACCTACAAATCTTGTGTTCTCTTTGCCCATTTAATTTCTTAGTGTACCGTTCATATCCTCATCTCACACTGTCCTCACTGCCAGCTAAGAGTTTTTGTCATTGACAGCTACAATTTATATAAGCTTGCAGTGTGAACTAAACACTGAGTCATATTCGTCTCTGGAAATGCTAAACATCTGCCATTGGCATGCAGCATTTAAAATCTCTTCATTAGAAATTCATTAACACTTAATGAGCAGGTCTCTAAATTAGTCGCATAGCAAACATTGAGGTTCCAAATGGCAATCGACCAAAATGTCCCAGCTGATCCATTCCAATTTTTCGAGACCTTTCAGAACTCTATCTGCAGTACAAAAAGGCCATTTATTGGAACTAAGCTGCAAAACGGGGTCATTCTGAAAGCTTTGGTGCGCAACTTGACATGTGCAGTCAGTAAAATAGGAGGAGAATGGAGGATTTTATTACTCTTATCAACAAAAAGAGGAAGATATTGCGCATTATTCTAGATTGTACAACTAACAAGCGAAGCGAGATTCAAAAAAATCTCAACGTTAGTAAAGAATGACTGAAGTTTCTTTAAGCCCTAATTCTAGAAGTCTGACCTTCACAGATTGTGCTGCACATTTCATTGTTTTTGGTGAAAATGCATTTGGTGGCATTTTTTCTAGAGACAGATATCGAAATCTCGTTCAATTGTAGCCTATATCGTGAATGTACTGTTGAATGACAATAAAGTCTGTCTAAGTCTAAGTCTAAGTCTATCGAATGGCCGAGACGGGACCCAATATTGGGATTTTAGACCCAACAGAAAATCCCCAGCCGCAAACAAACCTGAGTTTTAACTCATTTCACAAATCCATAGATTTAAAAAAGAGGCTCAGAAGAAATGGCACAAACACTAAATTATAAGATAATGCTATAAAACATTGACTAACTTTATAGGAGGGAATAAAAAATAAGAAAAGACAGGAAAACAACTTGTGTCCCAGCCTAACCCCAAGCATCGTCACACACATATAAACATATGAGTTTTCATATAATCTGGGCCTCCCTCCAGTTCGACTACAGGTGGTCTCAAGCTCTAATTAGACATTTACGTGTCAGCCTGTGAGACTATGGGGAGGCTAATAGATTTATTCACTGCATAACTCTAATTGGCATTGGGCTGTCATTTCAGCGTGGTTCTTTTTTTCTCTGTCACTGGAGGTGGGAGATATTTTAAAGAGCTGGAAAAATGTGTGATTCCTAAAGTCACAAGTCATCTATCTCTCACAAGAAATACAGTGGCCAAGTAGCCATCAAGCTCCCCTAAGGCCTGCGTAGTGCAGTTCAGAATATCCAAACATTATGTAAATGCCTCTTACACATCCATAAACCATCTGAGAAAACTAAAACAACTAGGTTGCAGCAGCAGCAGCAGAAAGAGGGAGGACACTCACTGAAAATGATCACGATTTCCTCCCGTCCAGAATATATGTTTCTCTGTTCAAGGCATACAGTACATACAGACGTGCTGTTTGGCTGAGATATTAAAATTCTGAAACTGTCAAGCATCACCCTGCTAAACAGATGAATTAAAGGTGGATGATGAATACAGCAAATAATACAGAGGTAATGAGTCTCAAGGGTCGGTCAGAAGTTTGGTGACAGCTGATTGGGGAAAACAGCAGTGACATCATGGTGAATATGGTTGTTAATGGCAATTTGAGTGGGTAAAATTAATAAGTGACTAACTGATAAATTTACTTTTAAAGGTGCACAGAGATGGAAGCCGTTCAAAGGTGCAAAATTATGTTGGTTGAGTCCAATCACTACACAAAACTATATAAATTATATAAATTAATATTCTAGACAAGTAACAAGCAAAAGAGACAAACAGGTCAATTTAGAACAAACAGTCGGTCTCAGTATGGTAAGCCTAATCACACCTGACTTCATGACGTCTGTGAAAATCAGCAGCTGAGTTAGAGAGTGACGAAGTGACTGACGTAGGACTATCTCTGTCATGGTGGAACATCAGCCTTATATTTGCGCTGTTAAGCAAACAAAAACCAAAATGACAATGGAAATAAAACCGTATTGAAATATTGAAAATATCATAAATAAAAAACAAATAATAATAATAATAATACAATCTTAAATAAAAAAATATATAATATAAAAATATGATTGTTTGTTTAGAGCATATCACCAGGCAACTGTAAACTGCTGAATCCTGAAAAAAGCTTTACAATAATAATATTTTTAGCCTCATCACCACCCGATATCAACGTTACAACAACAATAATCCTCATCTTCATCCTCAAACAACAGCAAAAACAACAATGATAATACTTATAAATGATAACAATAAATGACAGTCACACTGATGTCATCAGCTCAACAGTAAATAACTAAATTTCCGATATTTTCTAATTAAAAAAAGCCCTGAAAAGTAATTTAAGTCAAACTTATATTAGGCTATATTTTGATCCAAAGTTACTAGCACGCCAGTGATGTAGCTATAGGCTACAAAGTGTCTTCAACACGATAACAGCACCAGCAGCTGTCACTGACATATTTCTGACCGAATTTATCTGTGTTTTACAGTCGTCAAAAACAAGGAAACAAGTGTTACGATATGAGGTGTGATGAGATGTGTTATAGTTTTGAGAAGCAGCACATGATCCACCTCCTCCATGAGACGCGTTGCTCGCGCGCCTGTGATGCTGTAGTAGAGACTCACCTAACTTTTGCTGCAACAGAAGAAATCGCATCATTCCTTAAATTCTTCTTCTTGGACACGGCAGTTCCCATGCTGTAGTGAAACGACCAATGTGTAAAAACAGCTCATTCCACTCGTCACATCTGCAATGGAGGAAAGTAATGCACATTGGAAACAAATCATCCGCAGAGTGGATATGGACGCCTCCTCTCTTCTCCTTGATTCAAACTGCTGCTCAGGGTCTCTGTCAGACGTTCCGTTTGTTCCTCATGTTTAGGAACGCGACGTCCAGCTGAATTTCACAACGTGAAGTTTATGGTGTCTTGTTAGCGGAGTTTGAGTTAGTAGCCTACACAGCAATGTGGAGGGTGAGCTGCCAGTACGCTAGAATGTGCTCGTGCGCGCCACTTACTTACAAACATTCTCTCTCTCTCTCTGATCCAGATACAACGCGTGACGGAAACTAGTGCCATATAAGGGAGAAAGTGGCTCAGCTTGTCCTTTGGCGACAGATTAAAAGTGGACCTTTTTTGTCTCCAAAAGTAATTGAAAATTTCCACCAGCAGCCTATTTTGCCTACATGATGACCCCAATAGCGAGGCGTGTTGTCACACAGGAAGCCATTATGCGCTTTTTAGAAGAATTTAAACAGCCAGCAGATTGCTATTGTAAATAATAAAATGTGTAAAATTAAAATAACATTTAAAACACATGCACAACAACAACTAGAAGAACTCTACTTACAGAACATAATTTTTTAGACTTCTGTCTGAATGTAGGCAACACTAATTATATAAAACAATACTGTTAGTACACCATATTTATACAATTGAACTAGATTTGCAATTGAATTACATTTATTTCCATTCTAAGGGATGAAAACTGATATAAAAGATTAGGCTTAAAAGATTCCTTATCCTGTATCCTGTATTATTTCTTTTGTTGTTTGATTAACATTAAGGAGTCGGACACAGACAACAGTGAGTATAAGGCTGCTGTCACTTTAAGACCTTCCAATTGTTTATCTTCACTTAAGACATAACTGGTTGTGTTTATGTCAATATACTGGCCAAGACGGTTCTTTTTCACAGTTTATTGTGCTATAAAAAAAGCTATAAAAAACATAAATCTGTTACCACGCTGTTTTTCATTCGCTTTAACGTGTCAAACTCTTAAACAGTCATTCTTTGCGCAGCAATATTTACAGACTGCGATATAGGCTACACGACACAACAAATTATATAATTTTAAATAGGCTGATAATATATTTCAATACTACCATTCAAAATTACCTATTATTAAATGGCTGGAAAGTCTCTTGCTCAATTTGTAGGTTAAAGTTTCAGAGTATCTGATATCAGAGACAATGGTTTTATCATGGGACAACTAAGTTCAAGCCCGAACAAAGCGTTTGAAGAGTGTGCACAAACCCTGTGTGTACTACTCAAATACACCACCAACACGGCGGAGAACCATCCTCATTGGGTTGATGAGACGCCTGTTGGTACTAGTGAGGTTTATGTAGGGAGAGAGGAGAAAAATGGGAAGAAAAGGTTCTGGAAGTTGCCCGCTCTCCAGCTGCAAAACATGTCTGGTTCAGGCTGAGAAAGACTACCAGAATAAAGTGGGATTATACTGTAAACTTTCCAATGGTAAAATCACGTGAACATTTCATGATAGTACAATACTGATTAATGGCTGATTGATGACTGAGAAATCATGTCAAAAGTGTCCCTAAATGAGAAGCAACTCTAATTTGAGATTGCCATTTTTATTTATATTATTTATTTAATTTAATATATAGCTCCCCTCCGACTTCTGAAGTGCTCCCTGCTGCTGAGGAACAGCTAGAGCAGGACGTCCTGGACGAGAGTAAAAAATAATAAATCAATGAGCTTTAGAAAAAGTTATTATATCATTTTATTTCACACTAACACTTGTTTATCTTAGACCACATTTGCAGCCGTTATAAAGTTGGCCACAAGCTGGGTGAAGGAGGATTTGGCTCTGTGATGCAGGGAATAGATGCGAGGATGGACTTGAGGTTTGTTAGTTTTTTGCTTACAAAACTTTGCATATCAGTTCATGACTGGCATAATATGATCTCTGTGCACATGCTAATTTGTTAATTCTTTGTTTTGTTGTTCAGGTGGTTGTGACATTTTCAGTGAGGACGCCAGATATGCCATATATCAAAGTGGTGAGTAGCCTGAGCTGTCTATATGCAAATTGTTTGATTTATGGTCTAAGTCCTTATTTGAGAAACCACCTCCATCTAACTCCATTTTTTCTTTTCTTTTAGCCTGGTTATGCCAAACGCTTCCCCTTGGAGATCGGCCTGACAGTGATGGCCAATAAGGGCCTCAGATAATTCAAATGCTGGACTGGCAGGACGACATAGACCACTGCATCATGATCATGGAGTGGCCCTTGCCTTGCATTGACATGTTTAGTTTTGTGGAGCTCCGTGGAGGAAGAGGGGACAGCACAATATGCGGTGTCTTCCTTCGGGACATCAAACTGGAGAACCTGCTGGTGAACCAGGGCACCATGGAGGTTAAATTGATTGACTTCGGGTGTGGTGCGCTCATGAAGAAATCAGTCTTCAAAGTCTTCAGTGGTATGTGTTATGGACCACTTTGTTAATTCGCTCACAGAAACTCATCCTATATAGTCAACGTTCTGTGGAAATGTATTAAACATCAGTCAACATCTCTTTCCTCCAGGCACAGAAGGTTACTCTCCACCAGAGGTAGAATACAACAGCAAGTACCACTCAAATCTGACGACAGTGTGGTAACTAGGGATCGTCCTGTTCGTAATGGTGTGCGGAGGTTATCCCACAGCCGACGACCTGTTCATGATCTATGCCAACATCTGGACCAGTCCTAGTCTGTCACAAGGTGAGATCTTCATAAGTAAACAAAGAAGGACAATTTGAATTCTAAATCATACAAAAAAGACCAATAGTTTCAAAGAGATCAGGTTTAAAGTATAAGCTAACAATCAGACATCTCTCTTGACTTTTTGCGCTTGTCTGCACCCTCAACCACAGAAGAGACTCGTTCTTGAGAAGATGCATCTTCATGACTGGTTTAAGGTACTGAGTCTAAGATTAGCTAAATGCTTTTTCTTTTCCCCATTTTGTTGTTTTTGTTTTAGTTTGATCATCAGTCATATAATTATAAACTTGTTGCTACGTCAAATTTCCTCTAAATGCATTCATTTAGACAAATGACACTGATTTACGTTTTATTTCAGGTGATGGAGTAAGACATGGAAAACATCAGCAAACAACTCCTGTCATGGCCACCCTGTTGTTCTGTCTTCAGTCAGCTTTGTCTCTGGCGGGCTGAAATAAGGGCTGTTTACATCATTCCACATGGGCCATAGTGTCTTGTGGGGCCGGCAAATCCTGGTAGCATCTGGAGCCTTGACTTGAAGCAGCAATATTTGAGTCTGGCAGCATTGCTTGTTTTGGGATCTGTAAATAATAGTTATTTGTATATCATATATACATATATATATATATATATATATATATATATATATATATATATATATATATATATAATACGAACATTTTAGGACATTTTGTAAGGAAATTTGTAAGAAAATATATAAGAAAATTGTTAGAAAATGTATAATACATTTATATTTCTATTGCACTGTTAGAGTTTCATAGTATATATTGTCCTATAGACACCCTTGAGACTCCTGCAAAAGTAATTTCTATTTCTTCTTAACCCACTACGACCCCTCCCTGTCATAAACTCGGGCCAAAAATCTACTTTCATCAGCGGTCTCTCACAGTTCAAAATTAATACAAGTAATGAAGAGATACAAGTTATTTAAAAACTACATATCAGACACCATTAATGTGTTCACCTTGAGATCAACACCCCAAAATTTGGCATGTTTTTCATGCCAGACTGTCCTGTTGTTCATGTGTACCAAGTTTTGTGAAGTCTGGACATTACATTCACAACAAAATAGGCCAATTACCAGTAGTAATTATGGGCCACACCCAAAAATATATTGGCCTACATCTCCACAACCATTAAATGAAAACAAAATTGTAACTTCTTTAATACTAAACTTTTGCGTGCCTACATTTAAGAGCGTCATAGTACAAGGAATTGGTCTTGGTGACAGAAGCTTCCACAGTAAAGACAGAATGACAGGACAAGACACAGATAATAAAAATAAAATAAGTGAATAAAAATATTAAAAAAATACACAATATACAAAATAGACATCAATGAACAGATAGGCCTATGTTATAAACAAATACATGAAAATGTAAATAAGAGGTGTGGTGTGCGCGTGCTGAATGAATATAAGTAGAATGCAACATGGCATCATGACTTTGCGTAAACATACACGCCACTTTCAAGTCAAGTGGCGTGTTATCTATACGCATTTTGAGCTATCCGCGTGTATGTCCACGCCGAAACGAACCGTCATCTTTTGCGTACATGTACACGCCGTTAAATGTCCGAGCGAAACGAAGCAAAATGTAGATCTCTGGGGAGCGATATTTTTTTCCTAGGATGGTAGGGGGAAGACTCATAAATGGTATTAACCCCAGTGACGGGTAGGTTTAGGGACGGGGTTGGGGTAGGTCATATGTAACGTTAAGTCAACGGCGTTGATTAACACGCTGAAAAGCGATTATGCGTGTTGATAGCACGCCAAAAATGGAAATACGAATTGGCGTGTCATACATAGCCTACGCCATTTCATGAGATCGTTTGTGTTGCACATGTTTATTGTGGGCATTTAACTGTTCATGAGGTAGATAGCCCGAGGAAAGAAACTTCTCGTGTGCCTGGCTGTTCTGGTGCTCTAGCACCGACCGGACAGCAACAGTTCAAAGAGAAAGTGGCCCGGATGTGAGGGGTCCAGAGGGATTTACCAGCCCTTTTACTCACTCTGGATGAGTACAGTGCTTGTAGAATGGAGAGGGATGTACCAATGATTCTCTCAGCAATCCGGACCATCCGCTGTAGTCTTCTGAGGTCTGATTTTGGTATGAGCTGAACCAGACTGTTATAGAAGTGTAGAGGACAGACTTAATGACTGCAGAGTAGAACTGCATCAGCAGCTCCTGTGGCATGTTTTATTATTCATATATCACAACTGTAAAAAAAGTGTGTCTTTATACAGATTTTATAATATATTATCTTGATAAAAGACTAATAAAATTGTCTCTTCATTTTAAATGGACATCAATATATATATATTAAGTCATGTCAACTTGAAAATAATGTTTTATTGGGGTCTATAAAAGTTAAATAAACATTTATTGATCTAGCATTTAACAGATTTACGTAGGCCTATAGCAACTGTGTTTTAAGAAAAACATTGCATTGTGTTGTATTTTATGGTTAAAGGAAATGTCTGTAAACTTGGCGGATAATGTCTTTGCAGAAAAATAGCATTACCTTTTCTGTTTACAGTGGAGCAGAGGTACAATGCTGAAAAGAGTAATAGAACAATATAATTTGAGAAAAAGTGAAAATTTTATTTTATTTTTGATAAAAGTGTTTGAAAACCAGCATACACAACCACCCCTGTGTGTGCGTGCGTGCGCGCGCGCGCGTGTGTGTGTGTGTGTGATTACTGATTACATTTTATTAAATTATTAAATATTCATTTAAAAACATGGGGAAAGTTGAGGTCCCACAGATAAAGACAAATCACAGAGGAGACAAGGGAAAATCACAAACTACTAGGAGACTGTTGTACAACCACAAAGTACAGAGGCTTTCATTTAGTCATTAATAAAAAAAAAACAGTTTCAAATAATAAATTATCTGAAGGAAAAAAGTTTTTGTTGGCATCCTTCATCCTCTTTGTCGAGGAGTTGAAGTTCCTTAAATGTGTGTTCCTTGTTCAACTGAAGTTATTTCTCTTTAAAAGCGGTTGTCAGTATAGAGCAAGTGTCAGCCTCAACATTAGAACATTTCTTCTAATTTTTTGAGGGCAGATGAAAAGATTACTAAAACCTTTACATTCAAAGACAAAGCCAAGACAAATAGCAGAAGATATTCTTGGTTGTTTTCCACAGTCCTGTTACAGAAATACTTTATTTCTTGTTAATTGTTATATTTTTGTAAACTATTCAGGTTACAAGTTCTTGAAGCATATACGGTAAATTATATAACAAAAAAATGTATAAGCAAACACGAATATTAGACACAGAGAATAACATCAAAATGTACTTAAGTAACACATGAATAAAGATTTCCTGCTTACTTTCAGTTTCATTCTGATATTGTTGTGGCTGGTCTGAATACTGACTTGGATCGCAGTGCTCGAGCAGAAAAGGCGTAAAGAAAGGGGTTCACGCAACTGTTGATAAAGAAAAGAGCCCCGGTAACATTGTTGCTGGCTTCTGATTTCCATGACACCATTAAAACCATGTTGTTGATCATACAGGGGGTGCTGAATATGAAGAAGACCACTACGATTCTGACAGCCAGTTTCGTCAGCCTGTGGCTGCTGAAGGAAGCTGACTGACTTATTCGTTGGTGAAGTCGAAGGTAGAAGCACAACAGGCTGAAGAGAGGCACAAAATACATGACTAGAGTCTCGACAAGTAAGACAGCTATTTTTTCTTGAGGATTCCTATAATCCTGAGAACAGTGTAGACGCCCGTCCTTCTTCCGCTCAACACTTCGGTAATAAAGGGCGTAAGAAGCCAAAGCTCCACTCGATATCCATATCCCAAAAATCAGCCCCTTTTGACCCTTCCCTCCAAGCTTCGCCCATCGCTGAGTGTACAGCACTTGCAGGTACCTTTGCACACTCAACAAGGTGACGGAAAGCACACTACTATAGAGGCTCCAGTACACTACATAGGAAAATAACAGACATAGACCTCTGCCAAAAACCCAGCCGTTCAGAAGGGCATAGATCCACACAGGCAGAAAAATCAGACTCAGTAGATCCGAGACAGCCAGACTCAGCATCAGATTTGGGGTGAAGCTTCCCTCTAAATGTTGGGTGAGCATGACCATCACCGCTAGATTACCTGGTACACCCAGCGCAAAGCACAATCCCAGAACAGTGCTGGACGTTAACACATCCACTGAGGTATGGGCAAACAGAGAGCCATTCGAAATGTTCTGGTACTGCATGTTCACCTGCCAATTGCTGATGTGAATGTAAAGTCTGATGCAGACTCAGAAAGAGAAATCGCCCGGGGAGCGATTGGGTGTTAGGTGCCTTGCTCAAGGGGACCTCAGTCATTTCCTGCAAATCTGCAAGTTCCTTTTTAAACTGTCAGTCCATATAAGGTTGTGCATGAATGTGGTGTTTGTTGTGGTGTATTAGCATTTCTGTCTTCCTTCAACATCTGTTAATGTTAATGCATAGTGATGTGTGTTTATAAGCTGATTTGCCACATCTCTTAAATATGCATCACCTCTGTTCGCATTTTAGTAGTGGTTAATGCTGCATGCCTGACTGACCTTACACACAGATGAGCAAATTTCCCCTGGCAAGCAGCTAGTAGGCTATGTGTATGCACCCCCACACTCTCTGGAAATGCAAGAAACTAGAGATGCACGGCACATCAGGTCCATAGAGGCCATTATTAGTGCTTAGTGTTGTTGGTTAATACAGAAAGGGGACTATCTATCTTTATGATAGTATATATTTGTATATATGAATACTTCAGATGCAAAAGCCTATAAGTCCGTCTAACGTTTTTCTTTAATATGAACATTTTTATCAGGCTCCTATATAGATTTCTACCTACAGTAAGTACTGACATTTCTGAATGGGCTGAGGCTGGGATTTAGTGAGTTTGAAATGAAAGTATTTGACGAACGACACGTATACTATGTGCGGAGAGCATTCACTCGATATTATCATCTCATTTTTGACATAGGTGGCTTTTGCATCGGAGGTCTTCATATATACTCTATTGGCTACTACAGAAATTCAAAAATAATTATCGGGTTATCAATTATAATATGTGTGCATTTGTAAGCGTTTAAACTGTATATTTAAAATAACGTATAAGCTAGTACATTTTTATACATCATTACCGTTATGTTAACAGTATTATAATTATGCAGTGTAGTTCCCCTTCAGTGGTGCTCGTGCATTTTCCGCTTTTGCTCTGTGTCAATATAATTTTTTAGAACATACCTTTTCAAGAAATATTGTATAGATTTCAGACACGAGTCAGCGCGGGTTCAAGTCTCTTTACACGCAGGAAATGTAGGTAGGGGGAGTGAATGAACCACTCTCTCTTCCACCCGCCACAACTGAGTTGCCCTTGAGCAAGGGACCTAACCCCCAATCGCTCCCTGGGCGCCGCAGCAAAAATGGCTGCCCACTGCTCTTTCACGAGTTCACATTTACATCAATTAAACAGAGTAAAGATTATGCGTATTTGGCGTGCTGTCCAGGGGGAGGGCTCCGAGCTCGGAAATTTTTGCCCGAACCCAGAGTGCTCCCCCTTGTTGTAAGAGTATTTAGGAGAAGAAGTGAAGAGATGGGGTGGTGGAGGGATGCTGTTAGACTGTCAAAGAACTGAGTTAAGTTTGCTGAATATATACCTCTTACCTCATTGATTGGGAGTGTGCTCCACTCGTGTCTAATTAGGCTTGATTACCTGAATGTGCTCCACATGTGTTTAATTATCTGAACATGCTCCTCCCGAACTTTGTTAGGAAACATCATTTGACTACACGTCACATCACTTTTTTTAAGAATTGCTCATTTTAACTGCTTGTTTTCATTTTTCGTTTCTGTTTTTCCAATGACCCTCAACCTAATGTTAGCCTTATTCTTAAACGGCACACAGGTTTATAATTCCGACGCTGTGGTCAAAACGGTTGGAACCTCTGGATGGGTTTTGCTTTGAGGTCAGTGCACTGTTAAGATATGTTCTCATCTCCCCCGTTGTGTTTCCTGCATTGTGCATGTAGTCTAGTATCATGCTAATAGATCCGTCCAGAGGGATGATGCTGTGATCTGATAGTTCCCTCTAGCACACAGAGAGCTGGAACCAAATGCAAGAGAGCAACGTTCATCACCTTCCCTATAGAAGTACTGACTTATTTATCACCTCCGCTGATTTCATTCATACATGTGCGAGAGAGGAATTTTCTAAGGCGGCAACTAACCACTTCACTTTCACTGATGCTGAAACTGACATGATTGCTGCAGAAATAACTGTATAGTGGATGTCATGTATGTTTTACAGTCAGTATGGTTTAATTAAATTGCATATGCATGATGCATAGAGTTTTTAAACAGATTCCATAAAACAGACAAATAATTTAAATAATAGCTTAAAATAACTAATTAATTGATGTTTTGTTGGAAGGAAACCAGTTCAAATTTCATGAATGAAATGCTGTATATGTGGTACTTTGTGAGTTGTTTTTCTCCTACATTATTGCGTTTTGTTTTAGTTTGTCTATGTGTGCGTGTGCGTGTGTGTGCGAGTGTGCGTGTGTGTGTGTGTGTGTGTTTAAGTGATTAATAATATAGATTTAATACACAATTGAGGGATTGGTGCATAAAATGTTTGATGCCAGTGATTGGAAGGTAAAAAAATATTTTATTAATTTTATTTACCAGTTACCAGCTAGCCAAAAACATTAGGAAACACTGGTTTATACCTGAAGCGCAACATTTCTGAAAATATAAAAATATATTACTGAATATTTTAATATTTTATTTTGACATTTTTGAAAACAAAAGCAGTCTAAGGAAAGTGACATATCCTTGTTGTCCTCATCTGCTTCCTGTTTATATTCTTCATGGCAAAATCCTTTTAGCATTTACCATTAACATTGCATATGGTTTTAAATTGAGATCGGTGATGCTAGTGCAAAAACTCCACTTGACTTTAACTCGCAGGCTATACTGGTCTTGCTAAACAACCTCCAGAAAGGCAAGCGGGCATGTTCTGATTACTCATGCGGTTTGTTGGGACAGAGTAATGAGATTTCGTTTTGGAAATGAGACAATTTCAAATTTAGGCCTTTGTTTCAGCAAACAATACATTCAATGCAGCAGGACGCAACAAAACACACACAGCATGAAAGAGACACAGTAAACAAGCAGAATAAATTGGTGCCTGAGAGAGAGGAGGTGTGGTTAGATTTCTCTGCAATAATGCAAAATTAATTTTCACTGTGCCAGAGATGTCTCTGGTTTACAGTTTGCTGAATTGATATAGGTAGAATCCAGAGATAACTTAGTTATAATATGAGACCTGTTCCTAAATCAGATTATGGTGCATACTTGTCTAATTTCATCAACAGAATGGAGTGTGACTTTTACCACGACCTTCAAGGGCAGAGCATATACACTGCAGGAGACTTTCAGATGCAATATATCTTGGCATGTCAACTTAAACACTTTCTTATTGAGCAAAAACAATTGATTGATATGCACGTCAATAACCATTTGAAGGGTGATCTGTTTGTTGGCATGACCATAATGATTGCTCTCTGGTGAGAAGCACGAGGCAGGGTAAGGTAGAGGAGGAGTGGAACAGATATAAAGAAATGTGATGGAAGGTGGACAGACAAGAAGTAAACAGATGGACATGGAATGGAAAGAGGTGAAGGGAGACTGATGAGACAGGTGGAAGATGAATGAGGAGAGAATAAGGGAGTGGGCAGCAAATAACGAGTCGCCTGTTAATTGGATTGGTGGTACGGTTAATTGAATCAGCCTTCTGTCATGTTGTTGAAATAATGACAGATCGGTGTCAGCATACATGTACAGTATCTGTCAATGGTTTGGACCACCTGACTGAATATTGCTCATGATCTTCAGGTCCTTTTGTACTAAAGGCTTATCCTTAAATGCTTACAATTAGCTTGTAGACAAATTTCAAGTTTCTTTACAAATCTATTTTGCTTTAGGTTGATGAGAGTGAAGAAAAAAAAACCCAGGAAACTTATTCAGTTCTGTTTAAAAAGTATCCCAGACCGCATTGATTACTCACATGTGAAGTTGGTTGAGAAGATGCCTGTACAACAGGTGACTACTTTAGTTTTTCAGCTACTATACAATACATACACCATTGATTTATCTGTATTTCATAGGCTATGTACTCATGTGGATTTCAAATGTATTACCAGTTAAAAATAATCAGTATACTGCATTTTTTGGCATGATAGAGAAGTTGCGATCGTCTTTTCCCCCCCATTGTGACGTATATCTAAATGTGAAATGGCTTCTCGAACAAGAAAAAATGTAGGGCAGGACTTTCGATCGTTTGATCAGTGGTTTGCTATTGATGTGATATCATTTTGAGTGACAGGTTGTAAGCACATCATCAGAGAAGAGTTGTCATTGCGAGACTCTGGGGAAGTTATTTTAATTAAAGATTACAAGGGAACCCAAATTAAAAAAACAATAATAATTAGGTGTACAGATAAATCATTTATAATAAAAAACGTCTCGGTTACGGATGTAACCCTCGTTCCCTGAGTAGGGAACGGAGACGTTACGTCGGATGACGGAGAATGGGGGTTTCGCCAGAAAGCCAATCCTCTTCGAGTATTAAAAAACGAGCCAATGGCAAAGAAATGCCATGGGTCTGCGGAATTTGCATAATGTATCTCCGCCTCACCGCGTGAGTATTTAAGGAGAGACACCTGCAACAGCAGATCATGTCTTCGCTGAGGAGCCGAGACTGAACTCAGGCGTCTACCCAGCGGTACAGCGGAAGTGGCAGGGAGACGTAATGTCTCCGTTCCCTACTCAGGGAACGAGGGTTACATCCGTAACCGAGACGTTCCCTTTCGTAGTCACTCCGAGTTACGTCGGATGACGGAGAATGGGGGTCCCCGTGTAATCACGCCACCTTCACAGCTGTCTTCCAGTGCCCTGCGAAGTCTGACCTCCCTGTCGTGATATAGGCACGGACGAAGGAGTCCTACTTAACACAGGAATACCAAGGTACACTGGGAAGCATATCTCAGGGGAGATATGCCACAGCATGCCTACCCGTAGGGAGGACTTAAGAATACACATATGGCCCGAGGGGGCTACATATGGAGGAACACTGGAGTGACCAGCCCGTGGGGTGGCATCTACTTTCAACTCCAGGAGTGGCAAGGTGGCTTGCCGAGGGAAAGACACATGCTCAAAGAGGCTTACAGTGGAAATACACATGTGGGGGTTGCTCGGAGGAGGAACCATGCACACGGA